TTTTGGAGAGTTTCCATCAATATCCGGTAATCAATCTTTTTACTCTTTAAGAAGTTTTGGATTAATTGACTTTGGTGACCCTTGTTGATTTCCAAAATTATTATTTCTTTCATATCCTTGTCTAATTGAAAATATTGGTCTCCGGCAATTTTACATCTATTTTAGTCTCGTCAGACAAAACATTGCATTGCGTCTATTTCTCATATATTATATTATTTTTTATTCTAAATCATTTTTCAAATATTTTTTTCAATAAAGGGAGAAAAAGACCCAGCCAGTCAAAATGGAGAGAGGAATGGAAAGTGAAATAAAAACCAGCGGATATTGTAAAATGGTTTCTCAAAAAAAGTAGCCAACCCCAAATAAAACAGCAATAGAAAAGCCCATAATTAAAGCAAATAAAAAAGAACTGACTTCTTGTTGATAAAAAAGCAGAGGCACCAAAAGTAAAAAATTAATCAAAGCAAAACCTACTCCATTAAGTAATAAGAAGAGGGAAGCAGACGCTACTCCAATCTTCGTAGCCACCAAAAAGTAAATAAAAAAGCCGGTCGTTGTCAAAAGATTAATCCCCATAAATCAAGTAAAAGCCGCCGCGAACTTGGCTAAAATCATTGTTTCGCGGTTCGTACCCGGAGTAAAAAGCGTAACTTTGACATCTTCATCACGTCTAATTTTGGGAATGCTAAAAAGTTTTTTTTCTTTCAATTCTTCTCAACCCAAGCCACGTCCGACCAGCCAAGAAATCAATGAGGTCATCGCCATCAACAAAAAACCCAACTGAGTAAGGGAGACGACTCAGAAAAGCACCAATTTTTGCTGTAAAGTATCAGTTGGAATGCCAAACAAAAGACGTTTTGCTCCCGGTTCTTTGGGAGCAGAAAAAGAATTAGTCCAAATACAAACAGCAAACATTGCCAGATAAAAAAGCACCATTCCAATTCTGGATACTAGTTTTCGCACATAATAACGATAAAGTTTTGAAAATACAGATTTTTGAAATTTAAACATAAAATGATTCTAATTCAAATCTTCCTCTTGATATCTTAAATAGTAGAGGGTAAGGAAAAAAATCCCACAGACTAAGGAAATAATGGTAAACCAAATGGGGTCAAAGAAAACATTTTCTACTTTGTAGGGTCAAGTCCAGGAACTAAACATTTTTAAGGCTCATCATAGTAGTGGTAGAAAGGCTACCAGAGTGGAGAAAATCCATTTGCTGCGACCTAACCAGGAACTTACAAAGAGATAAGGAGTAAAAACTAAGAAAAAGAATAATAATGGTAACACGATTACGGATATTAAAGCCAGTAAGGAGAACGACGACCAAGATTTAACTGGGGATAATCAAAAATAATAAATCCCGTACGGAATTAAAAAGAAAATAATGTTAATTAGAAAATAGAAAGTCAAAAAGGCGAGAATCTTGCCTCAAATTAAATCACCTCTTTTTACTCCTGGGGTCATGGTTAAAACAGTCGCTTCCTCGCCGTCCTCTCTTGGAGAGAAAAAAGTCCTTTCAAAAATCTCAAAAGTGAATCAATAAAGGACTACAAAACCGGTCAGATTTCACCAGGCAATATCAAAAAGTAATTTTCAAAAGGTTTTTCCTTGGGTATAATTTTGGTCGGGGTATCCCAGAACTGAACCATCTGTATGTTGAAAAAAGAAAACATTATCGGCGGTGAAAGGAAAGGGGAAACCAAGAATGTTAAAGGAATCAACTGCCTGACCAACAATTTTTTGTCGTGCGCCAAGTCCTTCGCTGTCTTCTTCTTCGGATTGCCCTTCTTCTTTTCTTTTTCTATCTTTTTGTAGTTCATCCCGAAGTTTAAGACGCGCCTCTACTAGACCCACATCTAAACCTATCCCCTCAATTTCAATCTTGCTGCCAAAAAGTAATTTTACTGTATTAGAAAAACTGACGTTTTTTTCAATATTTCGTCTTTGCTCCGAAGTTTGGCCGAGATTACTACTTAGGAATTTAGCCAGTGCTTTGCTACCAATGAAAGGCATCACAAATCACCACACCACTCCAATTAGAATGGTGAAAACAAGAATTCGTAATCAATTTTTTTGTCAGATTTTTCCCAAATAGAATCTATATAATTTTCCGATCTGCGACATAATTTAATTTATTATAATTCAAGTAATTGTTGGTCTTTTTCAATAAAATACTCTTCATAAGTCTTTTCAATGTCAGCCGTTTTCGGACCTGTGTAAACAATGCGCCCTCTCCTAATCATAGTAATATCGTCGGCTAATTTTTGGAGGTCAGAAAGAATGTGGGTTGACATTAAAATGGTGCCGCCTTTGTCGCGAATATTTTTCAAACTGTTAAATAAATTTCGGCGAAAACTCGGGTCTAAACCATTAAAAGGCTCGTCCAGTAAATATACCCTTGGTTGGTAAAGACTCAAAGTGAAAATTTGGAGAATTTTTTTTCAACCAGTCGAGAGAGAATTACAGTTTTGCGAACGAAATTGGGAAAGCGGCGAGCCGTCTAGTTTTCGTAATACTTTTTCTTTCGGAATATCTCGTAAGTAACCGCAATCTAGCAGATATTTTTCTACTGTCAAGTTCTGAAATTTCGGCTCAGCAGGAATAAAACCTAATCGCTCATTAAAGCGAGGGTCGCGGTTAACCGATTTGCTTTCGATATAAGCCTCGCCATACGTAGGCAAGACCAAACGAGTCAAAATGCTGAGTTTAGTCGTTTTACCTGCCCCATTAGGACCAATAAAACCATGAATAGTCCCTTTTCGCACGGCAAAAGAAACATTATTTAAAACTGTTTTATCACCATATCTTTTGCTGACTTGTTTACTTTCAATTACTTTTTCGGACATATGATTTATTGTATTATAATATTATTTTAAGAGCATTTTGGACTGACTTGCTTCATTAAAAAAATGTTATTATACTAAGAATGACGGTTCTTGATCGGTTAAATACTAAAAAAGTCGAGTTAGAAGCAAGGTTAAGTAATTTATACCACGGTGGAAGCAACCGTCGAGAAACTTTGGAATATAAAATCAAAAAAATTAACGAATT